ATATAAAAAGAATCTCACATTCATTCTCGACATTATAAATGTTAAAATATTTTGATTTTTTACTTTAAAGAGCAAAATCAGTAAAAAGAAGCTTATACTTCTTCAAAAATAACAAATAAGTCCCTCCGACTCCCGAGTCAGGACTGCACAGACAACGAAGCACCTTTACCCTAGTGCTTTTAGTTCTTAAAATAACCAGCTTTCCAGCCCAAGGCTGGTAAAAAGAAATAAAGCAAACCCAAAATGAATCGACGGCGATGGCAGAACACACACAGACCTCGCCGCCATCCTCCTCCCATCCCATCCCATCCCTACAAACAGAGGAAAAGACTGCAACCCATGACCCCTTGATGGCGTTAAACCATACATTTTCGTCAAGTCATAATCTCATGGGGCTCATTTTTTTGGTCTCTTGTTAGATTGAAAATTTAATGCTGTCGTTCTAGTTTGTGTAAAGTATATATATATTTTTTTACCACTTGTTGTCTCTTTAAATTTTCACATGTAATCGCACCTGATTGTGTAATCAATGCTTATATATTTTATCGTAAAGTGTATTATCAATTCTAAGATGAGGTTCAAATTTTCCTTTCCTAATTCTAATCCTTTTAAAAAAAAAATTTCCTCGTATAATCACAATAACTTGAATACTATCAGCATAGGGAGGGAATTCAGAATCAAGTCAGTGGTAATTTTAAGGAGTTTTCAATTTTGAGTTCTTACCCTACATTGCATTAGTAACAAGAAGGTGAGTTTATTAGAATATATAAAATTTTATATAATTTAAAATTAATTAATTTTAAAATTATGTTGCGTTTTTGTTTTATTTAAAAAGATTTCCCAATTTTCGAAGCTGCAAGAGGGCCTTTTGTAAGTAATAATATATTCTTTTTGTAATTGTGAAAGCTTTTATTAAAGGGGAAAGGAAAAATTAATGGGGCCAAGTGTATACTTTTTAAGCCTTTAACAACTAAGAGAGATTTGCACAAATTACCCGACTCTAAATGAAGCTTTTGCGCTAGTAATTCAGAGAGTAATCAAAGAAAAGGTATGTCTAATATTACTTTAAAGTTACATATTAAGTGGTATCATTAATATGTTTTTTAAAATTAATTTATAATAAAAAAATAAAAATAAAAATATATTTAATATATTATTTAATTTTAAAATAATATATACAATATTAATGGTTTAATTAAGAGCAAT